CAAGTGGTAGAGCGCTAGCCTTGAGCTGAAGAGCTGAGGGACAGCACCCAGGCCCAGAGTTCAAGCCCCACGACCGACAAAAAAAAAAAAACAACAAAAAAAAAACCCAAAGATAGGCCTCTGCCCTTCCAAATCAATTTTATTAGCTGGAGATCAGCTCCCAGCAGAGACCAAAGGCATTCCATAAGTAATATTAATCAGAAATGCTTTCCCAGCTTTTGCCAAATGACCCTTTCCCTGCCAAACTGACACTTCCTATTAATTGGAGTTGGAAAGGGACAATAAGGGTGGGGACTATTTGTGCCCTGGGTTAGAGCAGGATAGAACCAGCCTGAGTCATGCCCACCTGCTTCGGTTCCTGACTCAGCCCACTGAAATAAACCCTTGATTTGTACCCTGGAACCCAGCTCGCCAATCCTCTCCAAACTGTCTTACCTGCTTGTTCAACCAAAAGAAGTAAGAGTAAGACCACTGGAATCATCATGGGCAGGGGGCAGGAGGGGCCGTGAGCTGGGGATCGGACGTTCTTGACAGCACTACACAGCTGAACTCTGCGAGCAGTTCCCTGACCACAGAGTTCCCCCCTTCCTGCCACGCCTTCCACCACACTCTGGCCCCTTCCCCTTCCTGCACTAGAGATGGGGCGGCTCCCGGAAGGGCCAACTAGGAGGGCTGGGAGATCTGGGCTCCAAGACTCAGCCCCGTAATGACCAGCCTCATACTATACAGAATGAGACAGGCTGTCCATTGGCCATCTTTCACTCTACCCATGTACAGAGACATCTGTAATAAATTGTCCTTAAAGATCTCCTTGGACCCCACTATAGACCCTTATTCCTGCCTGGAATTTGGTACTCAGTCTTCATTTGAGGAGTTTACTGATTTGTGTAAATGAAAAAAGAAAGCCTAAGTCTAACAGAAATAATAAGGCACCAAGAAAGAAATACCAGAAGGTTGTACGTAAGGGCCGCAAGACTGCTAATTTATTATAATTTCTCTTGTCCTAATACATGCACAGATGCCTGTATATAGTTAAGTGGATGGATACACACACACACACATACACACACACACACTTTCCAATGACGAACAGTCCACAGATGCTGTTCCAATGCTGTTCTCCTGCTCATCGATCTATTTCTCCAAACACAATATCCTGAGTACCTAAATCAGGGTACAGAAAAAAAAAAGTGGTGTCAACAAAGATTCACAGCTCATTATTGTGTTGAAGTATATGATAAAGTCTATGCTAAATTGCATGTGTTCAGCTTTTCTCCCCAACCAGAATCCTAAACCCCTTGTTTACTACACAGTAGGTTTCATACCTATGATGGCAACGACATCTGCCAACATGTGCCCCTTTGACATCTTGTCCAAACCAGCCTAAAGACAGGGATAGCAACAGTGTTAGCAAAGATCTGCAGGGTAGATAAAGGAAGAACTCAAAAAAATGTCAAGAGCTGGGCACCAGTGGCTCACGCCTGTAACAACCCTGGAAACTCAGGAGATATGAGGATAGAGGTTCAAAGCCAGCCTGGGCAGGAAAGTCTGTGAGATGTTTAATCTCCAATTAATCACCAAAAAAGCTGGAAGTAGAGCTGTGGCTCAAGTGGTAGAGTGCTAGTCTTTTTTTTGTCCGTCATGGGACCTGAACTCTGGGCCTGGGCGCTGTCCCTGAGTTCTTCAGCTCAAGGCAAGCACTCTACCCCTTGAGTCACAATGCCACTTACTGTTTTCTAGTGGCTAGTAGGAGATGAGAGTTTCACAGAGGTTCCTGCCCAGGCTGTCTTTGAACCACAATCCTCAGATCTCAGCCTCCTGAGTAGCTAGAATTACAAGTATGAGCAACAGCGCCCAACAAGAGCGTTAGCCTTGAGCAAAAAAAGCTGAGGTTTAGTGCCCAGGCCCTGAGTTCAAGCCCAAGGACCAGCACACACAGACACACACACAGACACACAGACATACAGACACACAGACACACAGACACACAGACACACACACACACACACACACAC